GAATTTGCCTACTCATTAAAATTTATTTATAATTCCAAAATCAGTACTTCCCAGTGTTTTCATGGTGCTTCACAGATTTGTAAAGAATAGCAAAAATTTTGAGTCACTTGATCACACACCATCCCAGCTTAGGTTCAACAGTCAGTGAGTGCTCTGACACTAGTTTCAGCCCTCATACCATAAACCGGAGGATTCTGTGGACTACTTAGTGTCACTTTTTTTTTTTTTTTGCATTTTGGTGCTTTTTGTTGGTGATTTCCCTGTTTAAAATGGCCCTGTGGTATAGTGATGAAGGGCTCTCTAGTGGTTCCAGTCATGGGAAGACTTCTGTGCTTTTTGGAAAAAATACATGTTTAGGTTAGCTTCATTCAGTCCTGTCTCATAGTGCTATTGGCTATGAGTTCAATGTTAATGAATAAATGATATATATTCAGGAAAAGAAAGACGAAATTCACTGGTCTGTACATGTCACCATCTCATAAATTCACAAATTTAGTTATTTCTCTATAACTTCATCTAGGCTCAATATAGCTTACAAAAGAACAGAATAAACTCAAAATAATTAACCAGGGTTTATTATATAGATTCATATCAGAATGCAGGCCTCTGGGACAAAAATTTGTATAGTGAAACAATTACTTACTGAATAGGGTTCTGATAGGCGTTATAAATTAATACAGTATTCAGGGACTAGCTTAGAACTAAAAAAAATGCTTGCAAATTATCTGGTGATTATATTGTCAATGTTAATAATGCCAAGTGATATGCCTCATTTTCTAATCAAGCATTAGGTGCTTAGTTACTGACATAGAATATATACTGACAAGTTACCTAATACATTGATCAGATATTATTCCTCTTATTCTCCTACTGCTAGTGATCATTATTTACGTATTACCCTAATAGTTCTCAACAGGCAGCAACAATGATAGTGCACTCACAAGTTCATGAAGGTCTACCGTGGAAGAATTTAAACTCCCTGAGAGGAAGGTCCTTACTTGTTAACAGGTAAAATACAGGAAAATAACACAGAAAAGGCTGTCATCCAAACACAGATTCAATGTGGAAAACAAAGTAAATCAGATAAATGAGACACACATATAGGAATTGGTGTAAATGTATGTGCAAAAGTTTATGTTTATGCGTATGTCTATATATGTGATACCTAGCTTTTACTGTGCGATAAGTATAGTTAGCAAAGTAAGGAAATGAGGCTAAAAGAGAATCCATAAAGGATGAATTCACAGGAATAAGTTGCTGTTTTCAGGAGACAGATGTAATCTTTACATGCTTCTAACTTGTGCAAAAACCAGGAATTTGTCTTTATATTTTGAATTACTATATATTGATCATAAAAAAAACCAGTGGTTATAAATCTACATATCAAAGATGACCAATTATCTGACAGAAGAATGTTTGCATCCAGTTCATACTTTTGGGATATGAAAACTTTCTACAAGGCCAATTAAAGCCAATCATACTACTTAAAAAGTTTTTAAAATATAATGCATAGTATTTGAAATTAAGCACTGCATTAGGCAATATTTTTACCTAACCAAGTACAATAATAGCTTTTACTTTTGGGGACTTTAAAATTTACATCACAAATTGGTTATCTGCCATTGATACTATGTAAAAATCACTATATTTAAAATATTTAAATTGAGACATTGCCTATTTCATACTATTTTTCTGGAAACCTCATATTTCTGAAATCTAGATTTCAGCCAATCAGTCAATCATTCATTTAAAACATTTACTAGAAATTACTATGGGCCAGGCTATGAACTAGTAATATCACCATGTTCAATGCACTGGTAATAAAACAACAAATATTATATATTTATTGTTTTCAAGGAACACACAATTTATTGGAGGTGACAGATGAGTAAACAATCAAGTAAATATCAAGGTATGGAGGGACTATGTTAGAGTATGTGCAATGTGTTATGATAGTTCTTATGCAGGGACTAACCCAACTTTGGAAACTCAGGGAAGTATTCCAAAAATTATTATCTAAAGGAATCTTTTACACAGCAAAATAACAATTCACTAATTTACATTAAAAAGTAGCTGCCAGAGGACTGGATGCCTAAGTGATCTTCTCACACCCTTCCTACAGATAAATCTAGGGCAAGCAAAGTATGTTGAATGAATATGGAATCAAAACAATGTAGTTAGATAACTCAAATATACCAAACAAAGGCAATGAGAGTTGGGTATACCCACTTTTTCATTAGCTTTCTGTAAATAGTACCAGGAGAATACACATCCATTGACTGTATCACCTGACATCCATCTAGACCAGTGATAGCGAACCTATGACATGCGTGTCAGAGGTGACACGCGAACTCATCTTTTTGGTTGATTTTTCTTTGTTAAATGGCATTTAAATATATAAAATAAATATCCAAAATATAAGTCTTTGTTTTACTATGGTTGCAAATATCAAACAATTTCTATATGTGACACAGCACCAGAGAGAGTTAAGTTAGGGTTTTTCAAAATGCTGACACGCCGAGCTCAAAAGGTTTGCCATCACTGATCTAGACCTTAAATATGCCAATAAAAGTTAATGCCAATTGATTAAAACCTGCAATTTATCAGGTTAATCTTGGATGAAAACTGCTAATTTTACCTTTGAGGTTTTCCAATTTCTATCATTTAAGGTAGATCAACTCCTGACTTTGATAATATCAAAGTGCTTTGAAAGTAAGCAAGATCTTATTTTGTACACTTTAAAGTATATACTTTGCAATAGGGTAAATATCAAATTAGAAGCATGATATCAGAGTTACACAACTTAAACTCTGTTGCGGACTTTAGACCAATATCTAAATTCTTTTGTCCTTTATTTTCCTAATTAAAAGTAAGAAAAAATTTATTTTTTCCAAACTTGGCTTTAACCAAATTTAATTCTATGCTTATTGTAAATGGTTTATAAAAATCAAGAATTTATTCTACTATCCCAAAACCTGTTGTAAAATCTTCACTATGAGAGTGGATTGAGTTTTGTTTGCTAACTCAACTGCATATTATGACAAATTAATTAAAAAGAGGGTTTCTGTTTTTTAGTGCAGCCTTTAAGAAGCTTGGAAGTCACCACTCCATCCTATCAATAAAAAGCTTAAAAAGCTGGGAGGCGGGGAGGGGAATAAAAATAAAATAGATCTGCTGTTCTCCTGAGCATTTTCTCAATTTATTGAGAGCTAGCTTCCAGGAATGTCCTCAGTTTGGCTCAAATAAACACACAATTTATAAAATTATCTGTAGGTTTTGCATTTGACTCCAGACACCAGGCCTACCCTAAAGCAACACCAGATATTACCTTAACACTAAAAACAAAAGAAAACCACAGACCAGTGTCTATATATATAAAAGCCTAAGCAACCATTATGACTGAACAACCAGAATGACTGGAACAATCACTCAACCAGTTCTATGATGTGCACTGACCACCAGAGGGAAGATGCTCAATGCAGGGGCTGCCTGCCCTCTGGTGGTCAGTGTGTTCCCACAGCTAACCTCCCGTGGCCAGCTGGAGTCATCAGCGTTCAGCGTCCATTCCTTCTGCGCCTGGCTCTGCAACCACTGCCTCCTCTCCCGACCCCACTGGGGCCTTTGGGCCCTGAGCTGGTACGGGGAACCAGGAGTCGGTGGCAGCAGGCACAACCCCTTTCCCAGGGGGGCTGGCGGTCAACCTCCTGCTCCCTGTTCCTCCCCCTGGCCAGCAGGCCCCAATTGGCCCACCACCTGCCCGCCACAGTGGTGGTGTGGGGGCAAGGGTGGCAGGGGGGAGGTGGGGAACTGTGCAGTGGTATCTGCGTCCAGTGTCCCTTCCTTCTGCGTCCAGCCTGGCAACTATCACCTCCTCTCCCAACCCCATTGGGGCCTTTGGGACCCAGACTGAGACGGGGAACCGGGGGTAGGTGGCAGCAGACACAGCCCCTTTCCCAGGGGGGGGCGACGGTTGGCTCCCTCCTCAAGGCTGGCAGCCAACCTCCTGTGCCCCCATGCTTCACCCCCGGCTAGCAGGCCCTGATCGGCCCTGCCCTGATTGGCCCTGATTGCCAGCCAGGCCTAGGGACTCCACCTGTGCATGAATTTGTGCACTGGTCCTCTAGTCTCTCATAAACATAAATGCAAAAATCCTCATCAAAATTTTTGCAAATCAAATTTTACCATGTATAAAAATAATTGCACACCAAAATCAAGTGGGACTTATTCCAATAATGAAAGGGTGATTCAATATTCAAAACTCAAATATTGTAATACATCAAACAGCAGGTTAAAGAAGAAAAAAATCACATGATTATATCAACAAATGCAAAACCTCTTTTGACAAAATCCAATACCTATTCCTAAAAGCAAACTAGGAAAAGAAGAAAGCTTCCCCAATTAAATAAATAATATATACAAAAACCTATAGTTAATATCATACTTAATAGTGAGATCAGGAACAAAGCAAGGATATTTCCTTGTATTCCTGCTTTTCAACATCACTCTGGAAGTTCTTGCTATTGAAATAAGACAAGAAAAGGAAATAGAGGTATACAGATCAAGAAAAAGAAAATAAAGTTGTCTTTGTTTGCAGACAATCTATTGTAATAAATCTGACAGGATAAACAAACAAAAAAACTCCTGGAACTAATAAGTGGTTATAGCAGGACACAAGTTAATACTCAAAGACAATCGCTTTCTGAAGGACAGAGAAAATGGTGGCTTAATAGGCAGCAGTGTTGTGCACCTCCTCCTAGGGCCAGGCCAGAAAACAACTAAATCAGAGAACATCCACCCTGAATTAACAAATCAGACACAGCTAAGGAGACAATTTTCAATAAGAAAGGGCAGAAGACGCCTGGAGAATGCTGCTTGCCAGCCATAACCCGTGTGGAACCACCACCATGCCCCAGCAGTGAAAGGCACAGTACCTCCTAGCGGGCTCCCAGACGTCTGCAGGGAGCTTATGCCGCCAGAGTGAGCTCCGTACCAGGCCTCCTCACCAGCCTGCTGGGGCCCAGCATCCTAGGATCCAGCTCCAAGACCACACATGAGTGCAACCAGGGGGAATCCTGTGCCTCACCTGCCCCCGACCCCCGAAACTGTGCTCTAGCCTGACACAAAGTCACCTGGCACCAGTTCCACCCTGAGCACCGGGACCTGCTGCCGGGGCCATCCAGAGCAACCCAACGGCACCTCACTCCAGGCGACAGGGGAGTGTGGACTGAGCGACCCAGGGCAACCCCACCCCGCTCCACACTGAGGAGGGGTGAACAGGAGCAACCCAGTACGCATCTCACTCCAGGCTAAAAGCAAGCGGGGACTGTGTACAACAGTAAAGCGAATCCAAATGTAAACTACAGCCCTGGGGTAATAATGATTTGTCAATGTAGACTGATCAGTTGTAATAAACATACCACTGTAGTCAGGGAATTTGATAATGCGCAATAGTAGGGACAAAGGTGTTTGGGAAATTTCTGTACATTCCTCTCAATTTTGTTATGAACCCAAAACAACTCCAAGAAATAAAGTTTATTCCAGAAAAAATGAAATAAAAATTTTTATATTCAATACATGATTTTGATAATTAAGTATTTTTAAAAGATAACTAATAAACAAAGGTAATTTACCTTTTATTAGTAAGAATGACAATAGAGTTTCCCTTCTCTTTATTTTGAACATAATTTCTTTTTCAATATAAATATAAGCTATATTTGTATTTTAATTTCTTAGTCTTATTATTTTAGAAATGAGAACCATAAATAATTACACATGGTAGCACATGTTTGTTTTAGAACTTCTATATGTCAAGGCTAATCGTGACACGTAGTTGAGCATAAAGGATTTGTACACAAAGAATATTAAATGTTTGTTTTCCTTTCCTGAGCAAAGAAAACTTTTAAAAGTTCTTCATTTGCTTTGTAAAAGCAGTTGGTGATTGTGCCTTCATGCCAGAATACCATGATAGTGATAAATTGTGTTGATGCCTTAGGGTGATACCTAACTAAATTAGCTGGTAAAGCTAAACTGTGCCCATTTTCCATTTTTTATAGTGTGTAGTATAGTGATGGCTGTTCAGACACCATTCAATTGCCTTTGCTTACACTGAGATTTAATTGTTTATAATAAAGTAATGAAAATTTAGAAATGTATAACCAAAAGGGAGAACTGTGCTTTCACCACAGACACAAAGAATAAGATATGCTAACTGGAGTCCAGGGAGCCTTAGGAACATTAAAGCAATTTCACTTAAAAGCTCCTTCTTCTTTAAATTTGATTTTATTATAATTGCTAAGAGAAACAACCTTTTGTCAGGAGATACTTGTGATGAAGTATTTTGAAATTATAAAGCTTGGAGGTTGGAAGTATGCAAAAACATACTGACAATGATTTCATTAAATTATCTTTAAGACTATATTCTTCTTTGTACCCTTTCTTTTTAGGCTGCTTCAAGGTAAATAATTAAGGTTACTATATTATTACCATTATTATGGCTCAGCGTGTGCTTTTATAAGAAAGTAATTATAATTAAGGGAAATAAATTATCCCCTTGAGATTTGTATTTATTTACTATATCACAGGAACAGAAAAAGAGAAATAAACTGGAGGGGATAAAGGAATAACTTGAAAAAGAAATCTCAGCATATAACTAACTAATAGGCAGAGGAAATTAAAAGCTGCACATTCTTTAAAAATTGTTAAATTGCACAGAATCCATGCCCATAAGAAAAGCATCATTATCTGTATATTTATAAGCACATTTACAACAGGCACAAAAAGTTAGTTGAAGAGGTAGAACTCTAAAGAACTGGTACCCACAAACCATTAAGTGATATTTCTGGACAAAGTACACAATATGCCATAAAATCCTTTTAAATTTGAAGGAACCATTAGAATGTGATTTCTGTTCACCTTATACCTGAACTATGCGTATTGTTTGCTGCTACATTTAAGAGGAGTATTTTTGGTTTTGTTGGTTGTGATACCCTGGAGGGCAGTTGTGCTCACAGGTTCGAGCACTGGGGACTTCACTGTCCTTTAATTTCCCATTTATTTGGCTAGAAATTTAAAGTCTAGATGCACATTTATTCTAGGATATTATGACCCTAAAATTGAAGAATCACTTTTTTATATAGTCTTTGGTGTTTTGGATCATTACAAAATTCAAATACTTTCAACTATTTTCAAAAACCTTTATATATTTAAAATTTTTCATTTCCTTTTTAATATTTCAATTATTATCCTGTTCGAGTACTTAATCTGATAAATATTATAAAAAACATTTTCAGATCTGATGAAAGTTAAGGTCTTTCAACTATGTTTGTATAGTGTATAAATTAGTAAGTTTCTCCATACAAAAGCAAATCTCTAAGATCGTTCCAAGATATTCAAAGATGTTGCTTGTTAGTTTTTCTTATTTGTGAATATGCTATATGTACTTAACATTAATTTCTTTAATTTTTATCTTTATAAACATAATTCTCATTTTTGTCCATTAGTGTTAAAACAACTATAGATATTTGTGTGCACTAATATTACTTTAGTGTTAAATCACAAGTGTATATACTGTTAATTTTTAAATAAATTTAAAATTGTTGAAAATGCACAGGTATATTAACACAATAATATTAAAAAGGAATTATGACTCCCTTAAATTTACCCATATTTAGTTATATATCTTCCTGTGCCAGAAAGATAGTAGCATACTAAGGTAGTAGTTACATCATTTCAAACAATTTGGACTTAGTGAATGCTGATTGAGTTTGCCTAAAAATCTATTCTTCTCTCTGGATTTTGAAAGCTCTTGTGATTGGATAACTGGATGCTATTATTTTATTCTACATCAGAGACTTTATAACCCAAAGATGATAGTCCAAAAGTCTTAAATTCAATTTACAGCCAATTCTTTATTTGCCAACTGAAATCTACAACAATAACCTACTTTTCCCTATTATCAAAATTGTATTTCTAATTCATTGGCCCTTAGATATGTTAAAGACTTTCCTTATTTAATTTCTAGGAATTTCATAAAACTCTGCAGTCTTTCAAGTGAATCCCATTTCTTAGAACCTGCTCCATGCTTCTCCCGCCTTCTTATGGCAGAATCCTTAAGTTAGTGACTTCTCTGATGCCTTGCCACACACCAGGCTGAGTGCTAACAGCACCTTTATTCCCCTAAATGTGGCACTAAAGTTCCAGGTTGTGGTAGATCCCTGGCCCACAGAGAGCAATGGGAGAAACTGCTGGTGAAGCATCCCCAGTGCTTCAAGGTAGGCTTTTTAACAAAGTCTGCAACACAATTTGTAGTATTCACATTTGTTCAATAGTCTTAATGGAGCAGGAGAGAAATGAGCCCTTTGGCTGTTGTCCCTTGGGAAGCTGGGTGCTCACTCACAAGACGACATGACTTTCCCTGTGGGAGAAATTACAGGCCTGTCAAACTTGTGGCCCACAGGCCACATGCAGCCCACAAGGAATATGGCCCAGCCAATATAACGGTATGTAAGAAACATTTTAATAAAAATTTCGTAACTTAATTTTTTACAATATATTGTTATAAATAATCATCAATAATGAATTACAATGTTCACTAATGACTTGACATGACTTTCCCTGTGGGAGAAATTACAGGCATGTCAAACTTGTGGCCCACAGGCCACATGCTGCCCACAAGGAATATGGCCCAGCCAATATAACGGTATGTAAGAAACATTTTAATAAAAATTTCGTAACTTAATTTTTTACAATATATTGTTATAAATAATTATCAATAATGAATTACAATGTTCACTAATGACTGATTACTACAATCATGTTGCATTCATTTCCCTTATGTGCCTTACACGCAGGTGCACCATTCTCTCCACTAATACTAGCAGCGAATATTTTAGCAGCCAATTGCCACGTCATTAGCCTTGAACTGACTTGTGCGCAACAGGAAATATTTCACTTTTGGAGAACAAGAAAAATAGGTTTATTTGCATTATGCTTATTAATTTGTGCAGTTATTCAGTGTCTGGTAAGTTAATGTTCAAGACAAAATATTAATTTTTATTAAAATGTTCTATTATTTTGTTAACAATTATTTATGTCAGCCCTTTATATTCAGCATATCTCTATCAAAATAAACCTACATTTCTATGAAAATTGAAGCTTTTTTTTGCGGCCCACATAAACTTAAACCTTGTTTATTTGGCCTATGTTAGCTTTTGAGTTTGACATGCTTGCTGTAAAGGCTCTCTCTCTCTCTTTCTCTCTCTCTCTCTCTCTCTCTCTCTCTCTCTCTCTCTCGTTAATCCTCACCCACATATATTTTCCCATTGATTTTTAGAGAGTAGAAGAAAAGAGGAGGGACACAGAGAGAGGTCCTTGACTGGAATTGAACCTGGGACCCTTTAGTCGGCAGGTCAATGCTCTATCCACTGAGCCAAACCAGCCAGGGTTGGAAAGGATCTCTTATGGCCCTAAGCTGCACTGCCTTGAGGGAGAGACAATGTGGGTAAAAACAAACTGTTTCTCTTACCCACTCCAATGTGTCCAAACTCAATTTTTGTGTGTGTGATTTTTGCTCCTACAGGGGGCTGGAACTTCTTGGGAACCCCGAACATCCTCAAAGGCTACTTTGTCCATGGGTAATTGTCTAAAACAGTGTTTTCCATGGGCTCCTGAACCACAGCTGAGAAGGGCTAGAGCTCTTTCACAGGCTACTGTTGGTTCCACGGCCAAGACTGTCTGTCTGTTACCTGAAGTACAAGTACACGAGACTCCGGCTCTCTCCCTTAGTTTATAGAGCTGATCATATAATTTCCTCAGAGGAACTTCTGTCCCTGCATGGATGCTTAATTTTTGTTGAGGAGGAGACAAAATAAGGGTTGTCTTACCTGCCATGATGCTGACATCACCTTCCTCGTTTTTTCCTTACTGTTGAAAATTCATCATCATTGAAACCTACATCCCATTATAATGGTGCAAAATTTGCATTCCTTAAACATTTTCCCTAAACACGGTAACAGTAAACTCAATTATCTACTCCTAAATGACAGGGAAACTCATTGCAATCTGTCAGTTCATAATTTAGAAATTAATTTCGGTTCTACATGGCTAAGAACAATTGGTTCTTATAGTGAACACAATGATTATGTTTGCTAGAAATGTAGCATCACAGTTATCTCTGCTCCTATCAGATCAGGGGAAATGTTTTTGTCACTGTGGTTTCCTACCTCGTTTTTATTTTCTTGGCAATTTGCGAAATGTTCTATTGTTAACCAGCCCATCTGGTTCAAGTCCTTTTCCCCGGCTTTACAGGTCCTCTTCACAGATCATTGAGACTGAATAGATTGTTCCTAGTTTATGTGAGCACTCACACTGAATTATAGGAAAGGCAGTAGCCTCACAAGTTCATTTCATTCGACTCCCTCCTGCTACATCAGACTATACATAAACTATCATAGCAACACTGTTTTGAATTTTTAAAATGGTTGAGGCACTACACTATGTAGTTTTTATATATGAATCTACGCTGTGTCCTTTACCAGCCTTACAGAAATTATTTTGATTCTTTTGCTATTTGTATAGCCCTCAACTTTGAATTGGTCCATGTGCCTAAACTGTTTTTGTGTATTTGGTCTCAACATATTTCTACATATATTTACCTTTCATGTGTATCCCAACAAGTATTCTTCTAATATTTCCCGTACCATACTTTCTTTGATAAAAACAAATAAACAAACAAACAAGAACCTATGCCCATAAATATGGATACTCGGTAAGCCATTCAGGGAAGTCAAATGACTCCTTCCCATGATCACTACATAGTCAATGACACTTGGTAAACTTTTTATAGGAAAAAATAGTTTTATGAAAATGAAAAATGGCATGAATAAAAATAAAAATAAAAAACTAGAGATGATGAACTGAATTATTCTTGAATTTTTATTAAAAATCAAGTAAAATAAAATAGTAAAACATAAACTTAAATTATTTTTATTTGTTTAATTATATCACACTTGACTCAAGTTTTAAGCTTCCTTTTCATGCTTATTTATATCTTTATTTTTAAAGTTTAATTCTAATAAATAATTTGTATTATTAACATTGCAAGATAATTTTTTTTCTTATAAGGAGATTTCCACTGGAATATTAAAAAATCATTTACTCTAACCCTTACCAATTTCAAACATATTTTTAGCATTTAAAGAACATATTTTATAGAGTCCTAAAAATAATTGTAAATTTTGAAGTTTTTTCTTATACTATTTTGTTAAAAGGTATAATTGCTAAGTAAAACTATTAAACTCCATGTGCCAGTCACTGTGATAACAAGATGACAATACATAATCTTTTTCCAGCTTTATTTATAAATGACAAAACTGTAAGATATGTAAAACATACACCATGATGATTTGACATATGTATGCATTATACATATGATGGTTGCCAGAGGGGAAAAGGGTGGGAGACTGGGTTAGAAAGCTGAAGGCATTAAGAAGTACCAATTCGTATTTATAAAATAATTATCCTATATAAAAGACTAATATGCAAGTCGACAAAGCAGTGGAACAACCGATCACTATGACATGCATTGACCACCAGGGGGCATATGCTCAACGCAGGAGCTGCCCCTGGTGGTCAGTGTGCTCCTACAGGGGGAATGCTGCTCAGCCAGAAGCCCTGAGACGGGTTCACTGCTGGCAAGTGCAGCAGTGGTGGCAGGAGCCTCTCCCATGGGGAGCGGGCCTAAGCCATCAGTTGGACATCCACTGAGGGCTCCTGGACTGCGAGAGGGCACAGGCCGGGCTGAGGACCTCCCCCCCCCAGTACAAAAATTTCATGCACCGGGCCTCTAGTCTATATATATAAAAGGTTAAGTGTCCGTCTGATTGGTAGTTATGACGTGCACAGACCACCAGGGGGCAGACGCTCAACGCAGGAGCTGCCATGATGTGCACTGGCCATTTAAAAATAAACGCACTGTGGGCCTCTCGCCGACAGACCAACACTAGGCTTCCCCCAAGTGGGACATAGGCCCCGCCATCACCCCAGAGCGACACCCTACCAAATCACAGTCAATGCTACCAAGACCTCATGTCGCAAAATGTGGCCCAAAGCCAAGCCTAGCCCGGAAAAGGTCGCTGTGGGAGTGGGTAATGATGTCACGTAGCAATGCCCGGCTTCCTCTCCCTAGCAACTAGCCTCCTTGCAGTTTCTTCAGCCTAGGAACACAACTTGCTTTATAGCGAGGTGGAAACATTTTTACACTTTAACCAAATGTCTGTGAAGCATTTTCCTGTGTCTCATCTCATTTAATCCTCACAGAAGTCCTGGAGTAGGTAGATAGGAGACTCTTTTCATTAGCCAGAAAACAGAAATTTAGAAAGCTTAGAAACTGCTCGTGTGCAATACATATAAAGCTCTCGCTGGCGTCAATTGCACACGTGTGTTTCCATCTGTCATTGTCAATCATGAATTTTGTTGACACTTCTATTATAGAGCAAGGGCTAATAGCAATATTAAAATATTTATTCTAATTAATTTCCTTTCAATGTGCACATATCTGTGCACCAGGACACTAGTTGGGACATAAAGTACTATATAAGGGAATATACTCATTAATATTATAATAACTATGTATAATAACTGCCAGTGGGTACTGAAAATGTCAGGGGAAATACTCGGTAGAGCATATAATTGTCTAACCATTATACTGTACACCTGAAAGTAATACAAAATAATATTAAATGTAAACTGGAATTTAAAATTTTAAATTTAAAGGAGTTATATAACATTTCAAATATCTTATTTCAAAATGAAAGTAGAACTTTCACCACATAACATATTAAAGATTACATGAAGCAGTACATGTGAAAATCCTTAGGTAAAAAAAAAAAACCTAAAAAGTGAGTGGTTCTTTTCTAACTGAAATGTATATTATTTTAGATTTGTATTCTCTAGCTAAAATTTTGAAGAGCTAGCACTGTCCCAGATAACTGAAGTGAGCATTTTGCAACCTATTGAAACAAGTTCTGACATTGACACACATCACTTCCTGTGAAGTAGAGAAACAGTTTGAAGCTTCCAGAACACAAGAGTGACAATAGTTAATTTATTTGCTCCACAACCTTTAGAAATTAAATTTACTATAAAATTAATAGAACTCTAATAACTTGAAACACTTGTGCTTCCCCCTAAATTGACATAACAAAATTACATGAAAACATGGCCTGTCTTTATACTAACTTTCCATTGTTATTAATAACTAGAAATGTATATCAACATAAATGAAAAGAGGAACTTATTGAAAGATATAAGCATATATACACCAGTTGATTTTACTTTATGTCTTTATATATTCCCAAAAGGTCTTCCTTTAATTATTTATATATATAAATAT